TATATATATATATATATATATATATATATATATATATATATATATATATTAGATGTTCAGAGTTGATATGTTAAATATCTATACATAGTGAAAATATCCGCCTTGTATACAGATACTGTAGGTATAATAAAAGTGATATGATAGATGTCTACATATATATTAAATATCTATTTACGTAAATATCTACTAAAAACAAAAACATTATATATATATATATATATATATATATATATATATATATGTCGCGCAGCTCCGCGGTTACACGAACGGTATAACCGTGGCCCCACAAAATTACTTCAATGTTCTTCACAGGGTGTGCCCAGAGACAAAGGAAAGAATTGCCCTACGGTGCTATCCCACGATTGCGAGCAACAATAACAACTTTATCTAGATATAGCTTCCGGAATAACAACTTTATTTTAACAGCCCTACAGACTAACGAAGGTCGCCGACAAAGAGAGGAAACAAACACGGAACTCGCGTGACACTAGCACGAACGCGATTGGCTGAGAGCCCGGCACGCAGCTGTGCACGTGCACAGCTCGCCAGCTTCTTCGTACAAGTCAAGAAAGGACAAGAGGCACGCTTGCCTATCCTTTTTTTCGCGGAACTAATTACTAATTGCGCACGCTAAGGCCTCTCAGGTCTCACACAACACGCGTGCGTACCCGCGGCCGCCCTCCGGGTCAAACGCGCGGCGTGCCGCGGACACGCATTGCGGCACGTAGCGATTACGTGCACGACTCACGAGAGAGAGAATCGCAAACACAGACTGCATCCGCGCATCGGGCGCTCGGAGATGCTAAGGAAGACACTCGCTGCAAAGCACGAAGCGAGCAGCACACGCAGCACTAACACTCGCGACAATACATGCCGGCCACGTCGGCACCGCCGGCGTAACGGCTCCGCAGAGCGAGAGAATGCGGAAAACGTGCGTTGCACACAAGGGCACGCTTCGCCAGCGATCGCGCGTATAGCACGCAACACGGCAGACGAGCGCCGCGTACAGAAAACTCCGGGAAGAGAGCGGAAAGCAACCGACGAAGTCTGAGGAGAGACGGCTTCTCTCTTACGACTCGGCTCTCTTATGAACGGACAACCTCTCTCTCTAGAGAGCGCGAAGACACACACTTTATAGCGCGCACAACGGTGGCTCTCGCAGCGCCGCTGCAAAGAGCCGGCGTGGCTGCAGCACCTGTTTGCGCCTTCCAGTGCGAGATGCCGGCAGCCGTACCGCACGCGCCGACGAACGCGCGGTCGGTAACTGCCGAACCGACACACACACACACACACACACACACACACACACACACACACACACACACACACACACA